TTGATTAATGAATTTAACCCCTGTAATGTCATCTTCATCACTGAACTGTCCACTTTTGTTCGTATGTATGTAAATGTGGGATCAATATCAGTACCTGGGCCGAAGGCGCTGTGTAACAGAGCCATTTAAATTTACGATAAAACGGCTTATGTAAAACATTACCAGTTAACAACCCTTATGCAATTAAGGTCAAATGAATGGCCCTATGTAATAAATGTTTTTAAAATTCACGACCTTAAAGTTCGTAAAAAGCGCCCGTTGAATGTTCAAAAAATGCGACTGTTAAATGTTCGTAAAATGCGACTGTTAAATGTTCGTAAAAAGCGCCCGTTAAATGTTCGTAAAATGCGACTGTTTAATGTTTATAAAATGCGACTCTTAAATGTTTGTAAAATGCGACTGTTAAATGTTCGTAAAATGCGATTAAATGTTCGTAAAATGCGACTAAATGTTCGTAAAATGCGACCGTTAAATGTTCGTAAAACGCGACTCTTAAATATTCCAAAAATGCGACTGTTAAATGTTAATAAAATGCGACTTATCAAATAATTGCTCGTTTTTGTATCAACATACCTTTTATTGCCTCCATCTGTTGCACTTGTTGGGTCTGCTACAGAACTAATTTGAATGGATAATTTGTAATTAATTACGGTTGCAAGAAAAACTTAGGAAACTTCAAACAAAATAGCCGTAGAAAGCTTTGAATGAGAGCAATTGAAAACGTACAGGCATAGTGTTTGGAGACGTTTAACCGAAACGATTTAATTACCTACCGCGTGAGACTGTGCCGCCCACAGGATGGAGATGTTAGAGGTGTTTTCGCAGAAAGTGTAGAATCTTTGGCCAGCAGTCTTCTTGTGTTCTGGCATGTGCAACAGTCTCCCCTCCCCAAGCTAGGTAAGGGTAGCCACACCATTCTTTAGAGATTTTCTGAAAGAAGAATCACAAATAGGAGAGTAGGGTGGTTCGATGAGATGTCCCGCTTGGGGATAACGCAAAGTAGTACACAAATGTTCTTTTCCGTTCCCCTTCAAGCGATCAATAATGAACTTTACCGTAAAATCGGTAGGGACGTTCAAGTCATCAGTTCCAGAAACCAGCATGACAGGGCAATTGATGTTCTCAACTGGTGTAATAGCTAAGTATTTGAAGACTGTTGTTGGATTCATGTAATCAATACAGTTGGTTGGGTGAAACGATAGATGCTGCTCTTTTCTGAAGACACCACTCTGCTGTCGTTAAGGGGTATCATGTCGGAGACTCTCCCTTTTAATTGGAAAGGGAGAAGGAAGGCGATTACCAGATATGAAATAGCTACAATGGCCTTTATTAGTGCGATCTGATAGCTTGCCGTCAACAGTGCAATCCATGACCATAGCATATAGGGTGGATCCATGTGGAAGCACTTTAGAGTGACTTATAAGCCAGTTAGCAGCTTCTTCAAAATAATCCAAGTTTATTGAAGATGGAGACGATGGTTGATCTTTATAGCCCAAGTAGGCCAAAGCAAGAGTAGCGAATCCATAAGATGCCAAAAGTGAAGCCTTAAATTCCACTATTCCGCCTTTAGCACCAGGCAGATCTATGACTCCTGTAAAGATAACATTGACTGTTTGAGTGCAAGATATGTCTAACATGTGCAAGGGAGACCTTATGATTAAGACATTACTTGGATTCAGTAACAATCGCTTATAAAACAACACGTCAAAGGCGGCGTTAACTATGCAACATGTGAATAACCTTCAACATTTTTGACCACTAAAACTGGCAGACATATGATGACAAATTCCTTCGCAAGTTTCCTCGTAAAACATCTAAAAGGGCTTTTGTTGCTTGCTTTGTAACTTGTCAGATTAAAGTTTGTTCCTGTACTACCTGCCAGGGATCAGCCGTGAGTAAACGCTTAACGCGTGTCTCAGAAAGAAATTGAAAGGTTTAGCGTAGTCCTCAACCTTAGTTTTATAAGGACTGCATTTTAAAAGGATTGTGCAATGACCGCACGACTCTCTAGAATTTAAAATCACAGGAAGTTAGACATATATATTAAAGCTGGAAAATATTGCGACCAGGTTTTTTGGCTAAAAATTAAACTGATAGCTTTGTTCATTGGAAATTATTTCTTTGGATCGATCCACCGTAAAATGGACGACTTGTAATTCTGTTTCGCATTATCGATAATTGAGATCAATTCATCAAAATGATAACGATGCAATCCATCTGCTTTATCTGTTCAATGATCGGAATGCGCTCCGCCTCGTTTTTTTTGTGGAGCAGTCGTTGCAAGAGGAAAGGAGCGTTCCGCCATTTCTGATTTAATCCTGAAATCCTGATACCCATTACAGTTTCCTCAAATACTAATAGTGTATTAGCCGCTTTATTCTTCACTAATCATTCTTTTCAGCTGTAATCGCACTCCTGTAATCGGACAGTTGAAGCAATCGTATTAGGTCCACTTAGCTAAATCCACCAATCACAGTATTGATCACAATAACCATAGCAACAACTACTTATCCTGAAAAAAATACTGAGTTTTTCCAAATTGGAGAAAATTTTTTACCTTAGACATTGTCTCTACCGCAACTGCCCTTAATGTATTTGTTTTCCCTTTTTTTTTTCGGAAATTGCAAACAGTTATGATCAATTGGTAACGGGACTTTGTGTCGTCCAATACTGTTAATCGCGGTCGTCCGATTTTGTTAATCACTTGTATGATCACAGACCAAAACGAATTCCACTTGGTCCGAAAACCATTATGTGTGAAATTCATCCTTTGTTCTTCCATCCAAGGCTTTGTGAATTTTTCCATGATTTGATAAAATCTCTTTCGCGTTACATCGATCGCGGATTTCAATGATACTTCAGTGATCTAAGAGTAACTACAATGTTTTACGTAATTAGGAAAAATAGGGTAGCAAATTTTCGTGTAATATGCAAGGAATGCTCGTCATCTATATTAAAAGGATTCTATTTAGAGCTCTGATTTCTTTAAATCTATTTTATATCCTTTTTGTTGGGTTAGATGATGCAAAAGACGTCAACGATAGTGTTAGCAGCGAAATGTCCTCCTCTAAATATGCTGGTTCGCAGTGATGGCGAGAACTAGCGAACGATCACACCACGCTCAGGACTCTCGACTGTCTGGTCTCTTTCGACACTCACTTTGATTCTCACTGGCTTGTGCTGCTAGAAACTCATTTCAGTTACGGAATTCTGTCTCTACTTCTGCACAATGTCCACATTCTTCTATTAAGTAATCTCTAGAGTACCTGCTTATATATTCACCATTGCTTGCTGAATATTAACAACAACAATAAAACCTAACGGTTATGATTAACTGAATCAACCTCTGACTGCATTAGCCAAAACAAGGTCTTTCGTGTGGGTCCACGTGGAAGTTAGACAAGATAGTTGGAATTGGTTGAGATAAACGCAGTTTTCAGGTAATTCAATGCAGAAGACGTTTAATTCAGTGCAAAG